TGTCAATTATGTCAATTCACAATGTCAGTGATACAAAAAAAATGTCTTTTTTAATTTTGACTTGGCCATATTGATTTTAATATTGAATTTACTATTTTCGAAGATACTTTTAAATACTTGATATTCTATAGTTTTGTTGAAGACCACTTGAAATAAATCATTTCAACGGCTCAACATGGAATCAATAAGTGTCATCCATAGTCATTAACCCCTTTTTTTAAATTTATTTTTTTTATATAAGTTAACTCAATATTTTGCATTTATTGAGTAACGTTTCAATAGCTTTGGAACTTTCTTTTCTTGTCCATTTATCCCATCTCGATGGCGATTTCAATTCCAACTTCCTAACCTATAATCTACATAAACGTTTCCTATAAAATCTACTGGTCATAATATTGTTCGCTACTCCTCCAAGCATCTTTATTCCGATATCTGGACTGATCTCCACGTAATCGATTCCCTATCAGACAAATTTGATTCTTGCCCTTTGATTCTGTAATATTTTCGCCCTTCTTATACACATCAAAATATAATGTTTAAGTTATCTACCCAGCTCTGGCGAAATATGATATAAATTCTCTCAAATTGTATTAGCATTTTTTGAAGTAGCAATCGGTGATTAACATCACATTATATCACATCTCTGGCATTAATACCCCGCCCTCACACCTTACCCAGGATAAACCTTGTATAGCCTAAAAGGCGTGAATTTTTAGGTAAAAAACGTCATCCAAGTGGAACCATACCCTTAATCTACTAAACTTATCTTCCGCTATCTCTTTAACGCGTTCTGGTCCGCTTGGCTACTTTTGTCCCTCGGCTTAAACCTATTTATTCGATTTTATTTTAATTGGTATGATTTTTTTTTAATTAGGAAAATTATTCTTAATTATGATTTTTCATTTTTTTTTTCTATTCAAAAAGACAAATCAAAATGCATTTCTATTTGATACTAATGGATACAATCAGAAGACGAACCGACCTAGATACCCACTGGCCTTCCACTTACATGCTAATTCACATCAGGATCTATGTCACCGTACTCGGTCAATAGGCTTTCATAACAGAGGATCCTGTTCAACGACTTGCACTTACGCACTTGTACGGTATGGTTCAGTGTCTGAAACGAAAAAAAAATTAATTCAAAATATTATTAATCGTTGCGTATCATTATGTAAATTTATGTACTTACAAACTAATGTTTAACGATTAACAGATCAACAAAGAACAGTTAATTTTGTTGTTTAACTTATTTTAATATTTTTTCACATATTAGAAGTATAATTCCATTTTATATTTATATCTGGTATAACCAAAACGTGTATATAAACGAAGGAACAGTTTGAAATGTGAGTGAGGTGTCCAGTTTGGACAGTTTAGAGATGACAGCATTATCATGCTCAACGGTATAGGAGATTCGCTAAGACTAATATGTTTGTGTCAGTCTTCTAATATTAGAGATTTGAACAACGGTTTTCCATAAACAGAGATTTTTCGGGATGGGCCAAAATAAAAAAAACGCTGCAAATTATTACACAGTGGTTTATTATTTTCACTCAATTATGCATCAGAAATAACATTACTTCCCCTGTAACGAAAGGAAAATAAATAAAAGATATTTCCAAATATTGGCCTAAATAGTTTATTTTTTTCATCATTGGTAATTTGCTAAAAAGAATAGACAATATTGCTTCAGTTGATGCAACACTTTTCAAAAACTAAAAAGCAAAACAGAATATATTAGCTTTGCAGAATGATTTACGGAAAATGTTTAGAACACTATATCTTACTAGGGGCCGTTATAGCAGTGGTTAGCGAGCTATGCTAGTAAAGCAAAGATCATAGGATCAGATCAAATACTTCCCAATACGGTCGGTCCCCGCAGGAAGTTAGACCATAATACCCCCTTAATTATGGGAGGCCTACAAGTTGTCTGACTTGTATGAACAGGCTTTATTATTTTATCTTTGTACCAAAATGTCCGATTTCAATATTTTTTTTTAGGAAATGTATGTTATGTAGATGTATGTATTAGTATGTAATATAGGTAATTTGAAAGGGCGTAAAAGGAGAAGGCTTTAGCCAAGTTTCGTTAGTATCGGTAAATCCGTTCGGTGCTACAGTCTGTACGACACAGGTCTTTCGTCCGCCATTTGGAGAAGAAAGCACTTTTCGTTGATGTTCTGTTTTTACATTTAAAGGGTATCGAGGAGAAGATTTTAGCCAAGTTTCATTGAAATTGGTACATTCATTTAGGCTCTGCAGTCATAGGCGGATCTACTTTCGACTGAAGTCCTCCCAAAATGGTAAAATATAACTATGTTTTATAGAAAAAAATATTAAAAACTATCTCTTATAGTATTATTGTTCGTGTAATTACATTTGATAGGACTTCAAGAATCACTTAAACGCCATTTCATATGGATAGTAAGTTTCTTTCTTTTTTTTCAAATTAATTATCGTTATATATATATATATATATATATATATATATATATATATATATATATGAAAAAAAAAACAGCTTTTGGGGTGAAAACTCCTCCAAGATTAAATCCTGTATCAGCTAATGGCTATACCAACAATGGTTTTTCGGCCGCCATCTTGAAAGGAAAGGGCGGATGGTACTGTCGAGGAAGGGTGATCATCGACGGGTGATCACTGGTTTTGATTCCAAAGCTGAAAAAAAAATATCGGTCTCGTAGTCCAGTAATACGGTGGACAGCGTACAGCCAGATGGCAGACCGACAAAATTTTGTTATTCGATTTTAGAGTTCCTGTAACGTAAAATCTCAAATTTTAAGGGGATGTTTACGTTTTTGAATTTATTGGTCGATTAGAATCGTTCATTATTGAAAATAATAAATCAAAAGTTTTCCAACAATTTCAATAATAATAATAATCGGCGCTACTGCCCTAGAAGGGCATGGACCTCACCGCAGAGGCTGCAACCGCTCTCCATCCTCTAACCCCAAGTTGGCGCAGGTCTGCCTTAACATCGTCCAGCCATTTCATTCTGAGATTTCCACACTTTCGAGTATCACCTGGCTTTTCAAAAAGTAGCTTCCTTGGAAGAAGATCCTTCTTCACATGCTCCACATGTCCGAGCCACCTCAGTCTTCCCTATTTTATTATACTAACTAATTCTGGTTGATCATATAATGCTCATAAATCTTCGGTTTTTCTAATTTTTCACTCCCCATCAGAATAGACTGGTCCATATATTTTTCTTAGTATCTTTCTTTCCCAGGTGAATAGTCGTTTCTCCATCTCCTTTGTCAGGACCCATGTCTCACTGCCATAGGTGATTGTTGGGCCAATAATTGTCTTGTAAACGATTATCTTGGCGCTCCAAAAAGATCTTTGAACTTCAAAACTTTATGTATTGCAAAAAAGCAACGATTTCCTGATGCAATTCTGGCCGCTATCTTCTTGCCTAGTTCATTCTTTTAGGTGATTAGTGTTCCAAGATATTAAAGCCCTACAAACTGGGAGAAGTTATGACCAATAATATTAATTGTATGTGGTGGCATCAGTGGGGGGTTTCTGGGTGCCCTTCATGTATTCCATCTTCTTCTCATTGATCGTGAGAACTCTTCTATTTGCCTCTCGCTCCAACTCCGGCAACGTTCTGGCTAGCAGGTGGATATCATCAGCATAGGCCAATACCCGTGTGTATCTGTTTTATATGGTACCTCCAGGATTGGTTGTCATACCTCGTACTGCTCCTTCCATGGAAAAATTAAATAGGGTTGATGATAGAAGATCTCATTGTTTAAGACCAGTATTAAAACTTCTGTTTAAAACAAACAAGCTGAAAACTCCTGTCCCCAGTTATCTCCGTGATTTGATCTAACATTTAGAACCAGTCATCGTCATTCGAACCAGACGCACTAGCTTCTTGGGAACTCCAAAACTTCGTAAATCGTGCTGAAGGTTTACCCTATCAACACGGTCATAGGCTTGCTGGAAATCTATGAAAAGATAATGGAGAGTAACATCAAGTTCATTAGTCTTTTCCAACAGCTTTTTATCGTGGCGAATATGCAGTCATCTGTCGGCCTTCCTTGTCTACTACCTAGGTAAGGTAATCCTAGTGTGTTTACTGTGAGTGACCTTGGTCTGTCATGTTAAGATGAGTGTAGTGTGCTGTTGTTAGTGTACTGCATGTGTGTGTCAGTGTTCTTCTGTTCCTCCAGCCTGGAGGGCCAGTGGCTATCTGCGGCACAATAGCCGGGCGATGGTGTCGCCACCTCCTAAAATGTCAATAGTTCAATGAAATTTTACAATTTAAATATTTGAAATTAAAATTCACAACAATTTCAAAATTTAATCAAGTTGAATTTAAAGATTACGGTATGCTTATTTTATAAATAAATATTTTTATTTTTTTTAATCTTTTCATTTTAAAGTTTTCGCTTACCATTTTTACAATTATTGACACTGTATTGATAATTTTTTTTTCTTAAAAGATATTAATATTACTTTTTTATTTCGAGTAACTCGTAGGGTAATTCTTATTATCTGTAGTTATGGCCCACAATAGACCAGCTGGGCCGCGGTGCAAAACGTAAAACAAAATCTGTTTTAGTAAAATGTTTTAGCACAATTTTCGTGATGAGAGGTAGATTTTCAAATCTTAATTTTTTCTTAATAAACACTGCAATGAAGATAATTCACAGAACCCAAATAATTGGATAACGTTCCTTTTAACTTTAAGTAGTTTAATTATTCTTCATAATGAACAACATTTTCTTCTTGAATTTTTATTCCAAACATTTTCTTGTTTGGCTGGTTGCTGCTTCGTGAGAACAATTAACATATGTTAGTTACACACTTATGGATGTTTTGAAAACCTACAGTGTAGCACTAATTTATATATTAGGATAATTCAAATTATATTATACAGCAGTTTATGTGATGCATGATATAGAATAATTATTATTCTAATAAACTATTATTTAATTAATCAATCATTAATTAATTGTTTTTTGTTGCAGGGGGCCGGCTGTTGGTTCTGCCCAAGTTTCAGTACCATTCTAGCGGCTCTTTCCCTCTCTTTCAGTCTCGGCAACATCCTTCGCTTGCCTAGGCTGGTTCTAAACCATGGAGGAGGTAACTAATTATATGTTCAGATCTTATGAAACGGTTGTTTACATTTTAATATTACAGAATTGTGTATAAGATAATCATTGGCATCTCTCAACAGGAATAATTAGGAAAAAAACTAAATTATCAATTATCTCAGTCGTGAATAGACTCTGGTTTAGAAAACCCACAATTGGCTTCCCTGTTACAATGGCAAAATGCCTATTGCGATTGGATGCCGGCTATATCTCATCTAAGTTTAGATGTAGATCACGAATCATAATGCCTTTAAGTGAAACAAAAAAAATATGTAAACATCTGCCTAAAATAAGCCAGAGGGTTTTAAACAACTTATGTACCACGTACTACTGGGTAGGGAAAAAATACATAACTAGCTGTCTTTGACTTTTTTTCAATTTCCTTATTTTATTTTCCTTTTCTTTTTTTTTAGTTCAAATATATAAGAAAAATCGTACATATGATAAAAGTTCAGTTTTACAAGGAATTCTCCCAAGTACTGTCATTTTAATCATTGTCTCTATTTTTTGTAAAGTTACATTAGTACATAAATAATCATATTTAGGGACTGAAGTGTTCGAGCCATTCCATTCCTTGGGTACGTGAACGTCAGCCTATTGAAACTATCTGAGTATCTACCCTACGTACCTTAATCGGAAATAACGATGTAGTTTTCCATGATGGCATTTATTACCCGAGTTTTGTTCCGTGGAAGGTCTGTTTCAGGGAAAGAAACATGGACATCGTTCCGCCTCAGATATTGAGGGGAAGTGGAACAGATACTCTAATATACAGTGAATTTCTCCTAGGCAGACTCTTCTCTATAGCCGAAAATTGTATTAATCCTATCTCAAAATAATTGTATAGTACTTAGGTCTTCTAAATATCGACCGCTTTCGAAAAGGGATATGCTTGATCCTAGTATTTTGATTCAATTTCACTCAATATTTTCCTATTACAGTTGCTTTATTGATAGTTTCAAATTAATTATTTTAAAACGTTTTATATATATTTTTTTATTTCTGACAAATGGTGAGCGCCCCTGAAGATCAGCAGGCGCCCCCAACGGTCGTACCGGAGCAATTGTCTCGATTGTCCCGCCCTAAGGCTGTAACTGCTTCTACAATAATAATAGTCAACTTATTGGCTGTAATGCATTTTTCAATGCAATTCATAAAAGTTTAATTTATTTTATTCTCATACGAAGCCACTCAAAATATTGGTAGGGACGAATGGGGTTATTTCAAACATTAAGAAATGTTGGACGTCACACAGAATTAGATCCTAATGGAAATAAATATAGGTTGCCGTGTACCTGCTGACCCTGAACAGTCATAAACTACGGAACTAGACCGATTCGTCACTGTCCTTGAACCTAAGCGAGTCGTTGCATAGAACCACTGCCAAATTGGCTTCGAAGGGATCGGGTAGGGGTCATCGGTAACCTGCCGTTACACCATGCAGATAATGATTTGCAGCAATGTGATGTAGAATGACCCCTTCAGAATATAACTAACGATAACTTTTAATGTGTTGCGGTCTTGTATCCTTGATTACTTAAATTATTTATACATTTTTTATTATTATGGAATTATACTGGAGTTCTGGCAATAGTCAGATTCTCCGCTTAAGACATGAGTGTATGTGGCTAAAGCGCTCTCGCTCAATCTCCACTGGCTTTAGCACCAGTGATGCGGTTGAGATAGTAGCGCAGGGATCTCATGGAGTCCTGCTTTTCCCTCTATAATATGAGGGACAAGCCTGGCTTGGAGTTCCCTCACCTGATTGTAAACAGTGTATATAGGTATGTTTGTGTTTTGTTTTTTTTTAATTTACTTATAATTAAGTTATTTTATTTTTATTTACTGTATATACTTTTTCGATTATTATATTATAATAATAAATGATAAATGATTATTATTTAGTTGATATTTTGCTTCTGTTTTTTTTTTATATTTTCTTTATATATAGTTTGAATGTGGTCTTTCCTCCCTATAACCATTGTCTATGTGACAGAGTGTTATATTACTCAATAAATAAAAATAAAAAATAAGATTAAAATTAAATTAAATTACATTATATCCAAATTATGATATTATTATAATATTAGCAACTAATTTACTGCTTAGTACTTTGTAAAAAATATATACAGTAATAAATGTAGCATTTTATCACTTTGCCATAAAAGTATTTACAGTATAAAAATAAACGTTTTCTAGGAGTGAGTAGATTTCCGTTACTTTAGTGTCGTATCTTGCAACTTTATGCCGGTAATAAATGTGGAGAAAGCTAATGACATAATAAACTACGATTTGAATAATAAATGTTATGTGGATATCGCTCCACGGCAACATGCTTCGTAAGTCTTGAGTCCATTGAAGTATTTTTAATGTTGAAAAAATTGTGCTATTTGGTTCTTTGTGCTTTATTAAAATCTGATTTTCTATATTTTTTTTGGTAATTAATGTAAATTAAAATCATCAAATTATATCTAAAGATATTATTCTGTTCTATTCTGGCAGCTTCCTGAACTCGGCATCTACAGAGCCTATTGAAGTATATTCAATCCTCAAATAATAAGAAATTTAGACCTTTCTTCTTATTTACTAATAAGTGTAAATGTGAATGATATGTCAATGAGACATAATATTTCGTTAATGTAAAAATATAGCACTTGAAAAAGAACAAATTAATTTCTATTTATTATATCTTACTCTATTCCATTTTCAAGTACCTATATCATCTTTGCAAGACTTACCTAACTTTAACTTGAGCAATATCAGACTGTCAATCCCCGCTAAACTTACAAGACCAATAATTATTTCATAACTCTTTACCGAAACCAATCGGGACATTATAGCAGAACTCTGAAACTGCAAATATTGCACACTCCTAAGACTTGAAATCTTCACTAAAATAATCTGAACAATTTTAAGCTCAAAATAATTGTACAATATTTAAACCATTTCAAACAATTACTATTAATACAAATAGTACTAATAACTTATCCTTGTCTTTCATGCAACAGAGTACGTAAACATCAAATACTAAAATTCTCGTTTCTTTGACGTATCGCAATAAAGATTTCTTCCAGAAATATCCGGATGAACAAAATAAAATTCTATTTATCTATGTTAATAAAAGTTAAGTCCTTCATTAAATGAAATAAATCGGTTTTTCATCTGGAAGAAACACGAAATTTCTTCATAATCACCGCTGAGCTTCACTGTGCGAGTCGATTTAATTTAAATAAATAAAAAATATTAACATGTCTGTGCCCCGGAGGTAAACGACATCCTTTCCAGTTTTTAAAAAATAATTTAGTAACCAAGAAAATAGTTTAAATAGTTCAAAGTTATGGAACATTGGCTTCCTCGAATAAACACACAAATGTGACATCGTATACTTTACCTCCGGGGTACAGATTCAATAACTAAGAAACAAGTTTTAACAGCTCAAAGTTATTGAAAATTGGCTCCCCGAACAAATATATAAATGCAACATGGTGTCCTTTACCTCCGTCGTGCAGATTTCACCTCATCTTAAACTAGGTTTAAACTTATGATTTAAAATGTTTTTTGTCCTGTAGATTTCTTAAATTACAATCTCCAGTATGCTTTTTTAACTATTAACGTGCATCTCTTTAGTTGGTAGTAAATTGATCCATCGTAAATCTTTGAACCATTGATTTGTAAAACTAAAAACATTATATACGCTGTTGGTCTTCTTATATTAATCGAATTTTCATTTACTTTTTATTTCATTTTGTTTATAACAAACCTAATCCTCGCCATTAACTCTTAATCCTCCTGTTACCGATTGCTCCTGGTGTTCCACCAAAAAGTCATCCAGAAGAACGACACCCGTGGGAAGTATACAAGGTCGCTAGGTACTACACTGTGGGCGAGCCTCTTCTTGGCACAATAGGCACCGTAATCTGACGTAACTTCTAAAGGACATAGAAGATGTACCAGCTTGGCAATCATTACAATAGTGAAATTAAAATTCATAAAATCCGAGGACGTATTCTAGACACAAAGAATTCATTTTTTTGCCCCCATATCTCTCCTGTGACGAAACCGGATGGACAAATTGTGTTTTATATGTAAATTTTATTACTAGGTGCAATCAATTTAAACATATATATTTGAAGATTATACGAGAAACGCTTGTGTTAGTGAAAGATGTGTTGTTGTTTTTCATCTGAATAAGGTCAAATATCAAATTGCAAATCTCTATCATTGCTTTATTAATGATGCGCAAAAGATGCCGAAGTGCATACACCTAATATTGCTTTATAGTAAACTAAACGAAATTTAGTATTAATTCAATCAAAAACTTGACAAAAATATTTAAAATTCGTTTAATGAAACACAGTATATCCATCTTATATCAACTATTATAATAGCCTTTTTCACACACAATAACCATTTATAAAATCATCCTAAAAAACATTATATGTATGTATTTAACTGCATATAGGGATTTAAATCTGATTATAGGCTTGAATTTGTAAAAAAATTATATTGGAACCTTCCTTTGTGATAATTGAAACCAGAGGGTGCCTGCCACCTATCACCCCCAAGGGTGATACCGAATCTGGGCATGGGGTGGCTCAGCTGGCTAATGTGTGTACAAAACACAGGTTGCCCAGCTGAGAATTACCTGTTGGAGTCACTGTGTAGGAGGCTTTCAACTCTAACATCATTTCCTTGTTCCCGTAAAAACTCTATATATAAGAGAAAGGGGAGAGAAAACAAAAGTAAAATTATAAAAGTTGTAGATTATATGTAACCGCACTCAATAGCCATAATATTTTTTAATTTTTTCTCTTGTTCCATGGCTTAAAATTACCTCTGAATTGACTCAAAAAAAATATAGTTTACTCCAAAAAGTAATAAATGATGTGGCCCCCCCTCAATTTTTTGTTGGTGCAACTTGTGGCAGGACTTGGAAATGGCATGGCCATTCCACCCCTTTCTAGTCCACTCTGAAACTACGTTAATCCTTACCACTAAACCCTGAAATAAACAAATGAAAGTGAAGAATATTTTTCATGAGATTAAGTACAATCATTGAAGAGGATAATTTTAAGTTCTATTTTAAATTAAATGGAAAGAAACAAGTATAATTCATAACAAAATTTCACCTTTTACTAGTATATATATATATATTTTTTAAATGTTAGTTGCCTATTTTCTCTCCATTATTATGATTACTCTTCAATTAACCTTTTTTTTTAGATTTTTAGTGTCAATTAGACAACATCATAAACATAAGTTTTGTGATATATTACAAAATATATTAAACATGTTGAAAGTAAGAAGTTATTATCAAACTTTTCTTTTATTCTTCTAGGAACCTTCCTGGTAATCTATATTGGTATCACTGTGCTGTTTGGCATTCCTCTGTCATTTCTTGAAATTGTCTTAGGCCAGTTCTGTCAACAGGGCACAACCAAGTTGTGGCGAGCTGTTCCTCTTCTGAAAGGTGGGTAACCAACAAAACCATAATAATTCTTAAAAGTGTATCAATGCCTCATATTCTTTTTTTATAGAAAATACATGTTTATTAAATCTGTAATATAGTATGGAACCTTCACTTTCACATTTCTAAGTTAAAAATATATTTCTTAACCATTGAGGTAATTATTATATTACTTCTTATTAAGTATTCAGAGAGGCAAAAATGTACCTCTTGTTTTGGACACCTACTTTCAGTTAGAAGAAGAAACTTCAACACAACATTCTGATTGATCATTATACATATATCTACATGCTATTGAAACATGTATGGAGTTGTGAAAAAGCATTATCAGAAACTTTACCAGAATCATGGAGATGATGAAAGATTTAGAAAAATATAGCTCAAAAATTTATTTAAAACCTTATTTGTCTTATAATAGTTAATATACAATGGTTTTTTTTTAGTTTTAGTTATATTTTTTTTTTTTCATTTGACCTCTATTATATCTAGTAAAACAGGAAGATAATAATAAATAATCACTACCAGAGGTGGAGTAAATGACAGGCTTTGGATACCAAGAGATCCTGAATATTAAAAATAACTTCAAGTTTAATTAGATAATCAAAAATATTTTTTAAAATCCAAGAAACAATTGGACAAATCTAAAAATTAAAATTAAACTGCATTCTTTGACTGCTGATCTAAATTTTTTGAAAAATTTTCTTTGGGAGGATCTCATATTTCTACGACTTAGAACTTCCACTTAATTTTATTTTAATAAGTAAAAGGTTACTTTGTTAATTAATCAAATAAATCTATGTTTAATGCTGACTTTCTTGTTTGTTCTTTATCAATATACTCATATAGTAAAAATACAGTTTAAATTTATTTGATTTGATTTAATATCTTCATATAATACTTTTTATTATTACTGATTGTTTTCATGATTTTTCAGGTGTCGGCTATGTAAAGGTGATCTGTTCATTTTTGCTTGCAATTTATTACCCTGTTGTCATGGCCATATCATTGTTCTACGGACTGTGGACTGTCAAAGGACCGCTTCCCTTCATTGAATGTACACATTCTTTACTGCATCAAGTAAGTAAATTACACATTTCAAAATTCAAAATTACTTAACTAATAATTCTGTTTACTAAAAATATTTTATTTGTTTTTATTGCAGGTAGAACCAGAGGATTCTTGTTTGGAGTAAGCATTAATTTTAAATAAAACTGCAATTGCATTAAACATTCAAATTGATTGTCGTAATTAAAACATACAATATACATTATAATAATTTAAAGATATGACATTTACTAATTTTCTTTCTATGATTTAACCCCGGTGAAGAAATACAATTTAAACTGAAACATTGTTATTCCACGGCCATTAAAACAGTGGATGCTTGTTGGATGTTGAAGATGTCTATAGATCTTGTTTAACTTACTAAATTCCACTCTCTGTTATGTGTTTAATATCATTTCATGTGATATAAGCCAATATTTATCCAAAAAAATTGAAAATTTTAATTATAGTCACTTCAATATAACTTGAGATTCAGCAATTATTTTTGAAAGAAGCTAATACTGAATTTAAGAGAGTTAGATGAGAACATGGAGTTTCTTCTATTGTGACAAACATTTTAAATAAATTAGTAACCAATACAGTCAATTTCTGAAAAACTGACTAACACTGACAGTTTGGTTATTAGAATTTCAACATTTTTAAAGAAACTAATTAAGAAATAAAGACTAATTCTGCTAAACGTATATTAATTGTCCTTAAATTCTTCTTCTTAAATAATTGTCTCGTACTCAGTTTGGAGCTTGTTCACCATTAGAGAGGAACCAAACAAATTCTTAATGACCTTTCATCCCTTATCTTAATAGTTTTCTTTCTGCAATCATCTGCCTCCTGCAATAGTGTCTGAGTCACAAGTTATATTAAAAATAACATGAGATAGGTAATTAATTACTTGAGCTTTTTTTATAGCATGAAATTAAAACTTTTTGTTTCAGGAATACCTTTTTAACTCCACCTTACAAGGACATTATGTGGTTCAGTGTTAATGTTACCCTACTCTTCCTGTTGTGGGCATTCGTCATGCTGTGGTATTATTTTTATCTTTTAAATTTCCTAATAGACCTAAAAAATTAGGTTGATATTGACACAATTTCCGACAGTGTTTGCAGAGGCTCAAAATCATATCGCACAGCTGCAGTACTCCTGACACTGCCATTGATTGGATTAATGGCTGCACTGCTGTCAATGAAGCTCACTGAGAGCTATGAAGGGCTAAATGTGTTGTTAACTTTCAGCTGGGATCCTGTACTTAGATTTGATGTGAGTAATATTTATTTCTTTGTGATAACACAAATGAATACTTATTGTTTGTTTCATAACTCTTAAGAGATAAGCAAAGCATAAACAGAAATGATGTATTTTAGGAAATACTTCAAAATTTTTCATAATGCCTGCCACTGTATTTTGGCGATTATAGAATAACTTGTTCTATAACTATTGCTCGGTATTTATTGTCTTTCTGTATGATTCCAGCAATCCATTCTGCATAATAAATAGTTATTACCTGTAATCCATATGAAATTAAAATAATTTTATGATTTGAAAGATAAGGAAAAGGATATAAACTTAGGGCAATTTTGGCATAAGCTATTCTGTCTAAAAATGCTTTTAGTCATGATTATATCAAGACAATCCAGAATATACAATTTTATTTATGAGTTCTTTGTACAATCTCAATCCTTTGAACATAACAGGTTTTATTTTATAATGTCTGTACAAACACCGAAAATTCCTACCACCTACATACTTCCTCATTATCCGTTCCTACCTTAAAATTGTTGTTTAGAACATATAATAAATTTAGACATTCTCTAAAATAAAAGTTGCTAGTATTTAGTTTATAAAAATCTAAAATAATTAAAAAATGCATGAGCATCAAACAATATTTTATTTTTCATAAACCATTCACTTGTTACATTTTTGAGCCTCAGTGTCAAATATTTGATATTAGCTACACTTGGTGAACCTAGCCAAATCCAAAACTACAATTGCAGACAATATACAATCATCTCATCCATACCTCAGTCTACCTTTTAGATCTTTATCTACTATTTCAGCAATTATTTTCATTTTAGTAATTCTTTCCTTATATAACTCCTAGCTTAATGCTATTATTTCAACTAAATTTACTGAATAGATACCACAAAGTGTACTGTTCACTGGCCTTAATTCTCCAACCACTTAATTTTTTTTAACCACATATTTTACAAAATATGTTATTTTCAAAAACTTCCATTGTTTTTCTTAACACACGTAAGCAGTTTTTGCATTTTGTAAAAGTATTATTGTACAGTAAAGACAAACAGAATAATTGTAGAATCTGAAATAAATATTCCTGATCTTTAATTTAGCTTCAATTTTTCTTCTTGATTTAATTTATAAAACTTTGTTATAAATATCTTAGATACTAAATACTTAAATACTTTACAGATTCAGATGTATATCTTTTTTTATCTAGATATCAAAAGTCATCACTGTTTTTATTACAGACTACATATTTTAATGTTGAATCATTATTATTAATACAACTCTTGCATGATTAAAATAATTTAATTATGTATTTAGCTAGTGAACCAAATTACTAATGTTTGCTTACTTTTAGACCTGGTATTATGCAATGGTTCAGTTTTTCTTTTCTACGCACATTGGATTTGGGAACCTTACAACTTGTGCAGGAAACATCTATTCCAAAAGTAGTGCATTTTGGTAAGTTAAATTGCATTCTTAAATATTCAAAAAAATAAAAAACAAATATTCTTTAAAAAAAAAAGATCTATTTTTATGATTGCTTAACATGGGATAAGAGAAGTAAAGAGAAATATATTTCAGGGTTGCTGTTGGCTACATATTCTGCAATGTTGCTGCAGGAATAGGAATGGTGGTGCTAGTTTACAGCTGGCTTGGTGATAATATTGCTACTTTGCATCAAGTTCCTATTTTATTTGTGCTCACTCTTATTTATGATGTTGCATCCTTTCAGTCAAGCAATGGACAACTTTGGGCTTCTTTAGCCTATTTACTGATAGTACTGTCAGGTTTCACAAGTATGGTAAGCCTTCAATTAATATAATTGGTAATTAAAGTAAAATTCAAAGCATTGCAGTAGTAAATCTTAAACAAATCGAATATAACAGCTCTTAAGTTCTCTTTTTTTTTTGGTTTAGGTGTATGATATTAGCATAATGAAATAGAAAATAAATTTAAAATAATGTTTAACAGTTTAACCTCTAACATATGTGTAAAACTTTTATCTGTTTTGTTAGGAGATGTAATAGTGAATATTGAAGTAAGCAAAATACATATTTATTTTTTCAGGTAGCCCTAATTTATACAATAGTAGTTTCAATCGTTGTCGAGACAAAGAATAAATGGAGATCCTGGTTAATAACTGCAGCTATATGTGCAATTGGATTTATTCTTGGAGTTGCAATAATGCTACCCGTAAGAACTGTTATTTTTTTAATAGAGTAAAAAGCTATAAAATGTCATTAAACATCAAAGCACTTTTTATATTTTTTATTCTATCCTCACCACACTTGCATATTCATCAAATGTCATCTACAATTCAAACCATTCCTGGCCAAGTTGTTTGAGTGCTCATTTACATGTATTTTGGAAACCGTTCAAGAATTGTTCATATCGTTATTTTGAGGCTAGAATATGACATTCCAACAAATTATAAGTGTTATTTTCTTTTTGCATAATTGAAGCTGGTATGGATGGTAGCTTCAGAGTAAATAACTAAAGTACGCCAAGCTTGGCTAGGTCGTCACTATTTGTTTTTATCTATGTGTGAATAGAATGACCTTAATTTGTTAAAATAAGACTTAAAATTGAATGTACATACCCCACATTGATTACAATCCACAATACCTATTTGAATATCCGTTTAACACTTACTTCTGATTCATTTGTTTAGACATGTTTCCTCACTTTTATAGAGTAATGTTGATAAATCAATTCCAGCCCCGAAACTTTATTTTTAAAAAAATGTATTAATGTTAGATGCATTGTAAGTAATTTAATAGATGAGAGATATGATAGAGGAAGGAGCTCAAAGCACCCCAGAGTGTACCAAGAGTTTTAGCCACTAACATGTGAAATCAATATCTTTACTCTTTTTTCATTAAAGTTATTCAAATGAGTTCTTTCTTTATAAATTAAAAGTGAATTTCTATCTGATCCTCTATGATTAGGATCTAACAAGAACAGGGAGCACACCAAGTGATCATAGTTGGTTCCAAATAAGAATCAGAGTGTCGAGAAAAGTAATTCTATCCAATATTCCTTAGTAGAGCGTGGACAAGTCGAAAAGTCTGCTATAACTTGAAAAATGTTGTTTTTAAAAATGGCACCGGGGTGCAACATTTTTTCCCTAAATATAGACAATGTAGTGGATCAATTCTGTGGCATTTGTGAATAATGTGTTAAGTGTAATTTTGTGAATATCACCGGAAAGCTATTTTTTCTCTCTTTCTTTGTTTTTAATGGATTAAATTATATAGCTATTACAGAGATGAATATTCTATTGTGAATCGTGGGTTGACACTCTAAAATTAATGCTCTTGTGAACATTCCAAACTTTCAATTGTGTTTTTCCGAATATATAGTTTTTGCACTTAACACACTATACAAGGGTGCCACAGAATTGAATTATGATACCTAAATTTAAGATAAAATTGTAAATATTTTCTCTGATGAGAAATGAACTAAAAATAGTCTAATTATATACTTACAAGTTCCATGACTAAAATATTTCTATATGTTTGAATTACTTTAAAAATGTTTCTTATTTTGTTCCAGGAAAAACTGAAATTTCTTCATATGCTGGATCATTATGTAATTGGTCATATGGTCGCTATGTCTACAGCATTAGAACTAGTAGGATTTCTATGGGTGTATGGTGTTGATACATTATGTAATGACTTTGAATTTGTTCTTGGATATAAACTATCAAAAATATGGAATATCATTTGGTTTACTACTCCTATCTTCCTTGTTGTAAGTTATCATTACCTTATAAATAAGTATTGGTTTAAATAAAACAGGATATTTATCTTTTTAATGTATTTTATTCTAATTGTTTAGATTGTTGAAGTAAGCTCTTTGTTCTTATTACCATTAAATGGAGAAGATGTCGAAGATGATAGATGGGTTTATCTCACTGGATGGTTTATGTACATGTTTTTGTGGCTTATAATAATTGTTATAGGCCTTTGGCAGCTCTGCGCTCAGGTCGATTACAACTTAGCACAGGTAATGGAAAATAATAAAATAAAACATTCTTTACTTTATTCACAACAATTCCTCTTATCCAACTAAATTTTGAATAACTAATTTCACACAAGATCATTGTAGAAGTATTACATTCCTAATGTAATAAACTAATTATTTTATTAAATTTAAATTGTATAACAGCAATCGCCATAGCAACCGGTAGTTGCATTCCACTGTATTTCTGTTCAAGTATTTTTTTTTTAAAGTGATTAATTGTAAATATGATCGTGTTTCTTTGAAAATAGCCATTATCAATATCATAGTAGCTTTGTAACAATATTTTCCAGTCAAGTTGCACCATTAATTTTTTTTTTTTTCAAAAACGAAAACACAAGTTAGGTGATAATATGCACGTCTCTTATTTTATTGCATATTAAAGTCACATTCTGTAAATTATTAAGCATTGATCCATGAAGTAAGGTATAAATATCATACCTTTAGCATTTATATTTTTTACAAATAAATTTTATACTTTTGTACATTTTCAATGTATTATGAATAATTGTTTATTTTATATAAGAACATAAGCAATACTTTTGATTGAATAACCATGAAAAAAATAGGAAAAACACGAACAAATTGATGCCTGCTACTCATCTATTATCCTGCAAATGTGCCCTCAATTAGAAAAATATTGGAGACTCCTGAACTAATAAATAAGTTTACAATAAGTGATTTTTATCAATTAACTTCAATATTACTGGGGATGAGGTAGCCTAGCATAAACAAGACTTTTTAATCCACCTTAAATTCTAGCTTAGTGACCTTATGTTTTAAGAGAAATAGATAACCCAAGGGGAGTAGATAGTAGCATTTTAATGGAAACTGTGGTCTACAGACATATTTAAATCAAAGATATGGCTAACAAATTAATCAGAGTATAAGTCAAGTAGTGAAAGCAGAGAGCTAACCACACTGCCTCCATGAAAAGTTGAAGTTACTTTTTAAACTACAGAAGAGGTTAATTCTGTCTGTGACTATTACAAGATAGATTTATTTTTATTTAATTATCTGATATATCAGCTCGAGATGGGTCTACTATTCAATATTTTAAGATAAGCTACTTGTATTGTTTACAAATCCATGTACTTTTTTTTCTTGTTTCAGTTCCAGAATAAATTTTATTGTTTCCTTCATTATTATTTTGTTTCTATAAATTATAGCTAGATTTTTTTTTTATGTTGTTTGTAATGTAACAATATATTAATATTATTTTAAAATAAGTAAACATGTATCTTACAAGGACAAATGAATCAGTACGCTAAAATAAATTATCTATTTATTATATGAGCCTTTCAGATGACAAAATGACTAACCGCAATTTCAACATTTTTTATTATTAATTTTACTGATATTTCTAGTCGGAAAATGTATGCCTTTATTCACAGTTCTATATTTCAACACTGCAATCACCTACTCTGGAATCAACTTACTCACTGTCTGTACATATATTACAAATTTTCCAACTAGAAATATCACTAAAATGACTTTACTGAAAAATGTTGAAATTAGAGTTAGTCATTCTGTCAACTGAAAGGCTCATGTAGAGTAAAACCACCTAAGCATAAATGAAAATTGAAAAAATGAATGGTGTTCAGTTAATGAAAAAGTGCTAAACATTGCATAAAATACCAAAATTGGACTATTATTAAGTGAGAAGCACAGCAGAATCAAATCTGGCACAGATGTGGTGATTTCCATTCAATGGCAGATCCACAAAAGAAAATGCTGACTTTAATAGTTTGTTTAAAATTAATGAAACTTCATTGCGAATCTTGGAGTTTTCTTAACATAGCATATTGTTAAGCACCCATTTTCCAAAAATGCTAATTGAAACATTAAAATAACTGTAAACATAAATAACTATTATTTTTTCCTTATGGGCTACAACCCGGTTACAGGTTTTGGCCTCCTCCAACCCTTAAATTAGTATAAATAATATTAAATACAATTATGATACAATAATATTTTTAAACATTATAATTTTCTTTATATTTTTAGAAACTACATAGTTCTCTAAAACCAACAAGAAACTGGGGTCCAGTAGACCCTCTATATCGGCATGGCTGGGTCCAATGGAGAGACTCATATCAAAATACTGGAGAAAGAGATTTCACCTTAAAGAGAAGAGGCACACGTGACTACACACATTCAATTAAATCTGAACAGAGGTATAAGACAAATTAGATATTTTTTTTTTATAATTTAATTAAGACTCGTGTATTTATTGTTGATATTGAAATTATAGTTCAAATACATCACATTTATAGTGTTATACATTTAAAGTTTAATTGTAGTACAATCATTTTAATTAAATTGAAAAATCCATAAGTAATGGAAAACATAAAAAATATTAAAGTAAGTAATTTTCTTTCTAATTAATATTCCAATTTTTAGGTATAACACAATGAGCTTACCAAGACCCAATTCGACTTATGTGGTGCAGCTACCAGAGAACTACTGGCCTAAAGCGCATCAGAAGAAGTCTACATTATCATAGATCATAATTATAATTATTAATCCATGATAAGAAAACCTTAGCTAACGGATAGAGCTAAGAATATCAGCAATTTGTTATTTGTAATTATACCTAAATAGGCAATGTATTAGGTTCCTTGAAAACATATGATCAAGGTCAAATATTTGAAAAACTATCATTTAGTAAGTGTGAAAGATCTAAGGACTTGCCAGAGATCATATAAATAAATTATTTTTCTCTTTTTAAAAACTCAAATCAGGCTTGATAGTTATATAACGTGTATAGTTGTCCTTTATTTGAAAGATAGATAGTTAAGTTAATTTCAAATCCAAGAGCTCATCAGACAATGAGTGATTTAGTTTATGTTGGTTTAAAAGACAATTTGTATAATGTTATATTAGTAATATCAGTGTGGTTCTAGTGAGAACAAGTGATGTAATCCAAAGTTAATCATTTGACCTCGTTTGCTAGTAATTATGTAGATAATTTGTTCCGCTTTTGATTGTACTATATAATGTGACATAGATAAGTATTTCTTTAATTTTCTTAAGTCATCTTCTACAATGAGTTATTTCAAACGTTAAAACCTAATCACACTTGAAATTAATAAGTATTCAGAAGCATATGTAGTCAAAAACATTCTCTGTTGTAAGCTAGAAATTGATTATAAATTATTTATTGAGTTTTCATAATAGAATTTATAGAAATATTTAAAAATTACAGTAGACTCTTATTTATCCAGCCATGTCGAGCTGAGATAAGACTAATTAGCCATCAACAAATATTTAAAAACAATGTATATGTATATGTATATTAATAATAGCAAAGTAAGTTTTTAGGTGTACATAGAATAATACACACTCTGTTGATAAAATCCGTATAACTAAAAATATTACATATTATTTTATTTAATATTTATCCTGACATTAAAAAATTATGAATCAAATTATTAAAAAAATCAATTTACTTCATGTAAAAAAAATAAATTTTGTTTTATTTCCAATTAATGTTAATTTTATTTATTTATAAAAACTAAAAATAGCATATAAACCATTTTTACAGACACCAAATTATAATATGCAGATTGAAGATTTTTATTGTAATGAAATTAGTTTGCAAAATATTATATTGAGTTAGCTATTACGTAATTGTACTTACTTTATAAAATATTATATCTCTAGCTATCCCTTATTTAAGAGGTGGATAGTTAATTTAGTACAGCAGAGTATAAAACCAAGCATGAATATAATGTGAATACATCATTCATTATAATAATACCAATACTATTAGTATATATACATTCCTGTCAATTTTACTTAAATGAAAACAGTGAAAATAAAATCCTAAATATGCGCAAAATTGGAGAAAACTTTAGGTCTTCACGTAACTTTCTTTTATAATTTCTTTAATACTTGGTCAAAAATATAAAATGTTACAGATTTTGTTACCAATTGAGATTATATTTTTGAAATTGTTTAGCTAATGACAAATATTACAATTCAATCATGATATAAGTACTGTATAATGTACTTCCTATAGTTATTGCTGTGAGAACTTATTCCTACAGTAAACAATAACTATGTTTGAATTGATAGGTTTATATTTATGCCAGTACTTAAAATTTTAATTGTTGATAATAGAATTTAGTAATGCTAATGCGTTATTATTTTATTCCTTAATGTACTTCAGCAATAACTTATAATAATGACATCACATATTTATAATCAATATAATCACATTAGTCTAAAAACCTTTATTTTCATCTTTATTGGAAACTTAAAAAGACTGTTATATGTTATATATGTATTTTTTTTTTACCTTTGTAGCTGTAGAGTATAACATAAATATTCATTTTAAAAATGAACCTTACTTTATTAGTAACTATATATTTATTATTAAAACAATGAATTAGATTCTTTAATGCATGTGTTCATCGTTTATAATGCCCAAGATACAAGCTGAGGTTTATATAATGTTAAAAAATAGAATTTTAAAACATCAAGCCTCAGTTTTTTTTGTTGTTTTTAGTTAAAATACACTATAATTGTAAATATATTTTTTATATTCCTTTATTGTGAGTGAAACTCACAAATATGTTACCCTTATAGTAATTATTTTAATTGAATTATTTAAATTATTTTTCTAATTCTCTCTAAATATAAGTTTTTTGTTTTGTTTCATTGTAAACTACTATATTCTGAAAATCTAATGAATAGTAAATGAAATCTGTCATGAACATTATTTATCTGGAATTACGCCTTAAAAATTAAAAAAAAGAATATGTATTATATTATTTATTAAAATAATAAAATGAAACTTAATACTTGCTAGCATTCCATTCTAACCTATCCCCATTTAAATATGAATAATAAATTCTTACAAATGTTTATAAATTTTTTCATTTCAATAATTTTTACTATTGAAAAAATGTTCTTGTTTACCAGTGTTTCACATCTTCCAGCACATCTTTTATTACATTCTGTGAAAATAAACACATAAATAATAACAATTTTTGCACATATATTTTTGTGATTTTATATTTTGAATTAAATAAAACCTTTAATCTAGGCTATGCAGACACAGGCTTTGTACTTGATGTTTTAAGGTCAAAGGGCAAATGTAATATGTTTTACCTAAAATCAATTTTTTTTCGTTGTTAAAATCTAAAGAAAATATAATTATAATATCAAATTTAACAGAGAAATAGTTTTTATTTCAAATAATATGTAAATTTTGATTTGACTCTTCTCTGCGAATTCTTGTAGTGAGCATATAACATAAAAATAATTCTTATTGAATACTTAATAGTTGAATGTTATGTTTTAGAAGAAGGGGGTGGTCAAATTTTCGAATCTGAGTTTTCAACGGAAATACATGTCTTGAAGTCTCTTTAGTCCAAATAACCAAGTCCTGCAAAATGGTCTATGTGTGTATGTGTTAGCAGTATAGCTCAAAAACGAAGTCGCAAGAAAGTGAAATTGCATATTTAAGCTTTTTATATACCTCAGATGTTACAGCAATTTTCTCCTTAAAATCGGCTAACTGGAAGTGCCACTTTATATCAACAGTAAAACACATTTTTATAATTTTCTCAAAAACAGCTCCAACGATTTTGTTTAAACTCTGTGTCTCATTGTATAATTAAGTGGTCTTTAATATCATTTAGTTCTTATCCCCATTGATGTCACTTTACAAGGCTTAAATTCCCAATGTTCATATATGTCTTCCTCTAAAGTACCTGTAATATGAATTATTTTTTAAAAAAATCAACTCTCTTTTATCAACAGTAACTATAAAAAATGGTTAAATATGAAGTTTGAAAGAATTTGATAATTGAAAACCTGAAAAAAAAAAAAAAGTAAAAATGCTTATCCAGGTTGAAAATGAATCTTCTGAAATAACAGTCAGAAGGTATATAATATATAGTTGGAAAGCGGAGAATTTGAGAAAAAATAATATCTGATAAATAAAGTTGTATAAGGTAACGGAGAGTGACAAAAAAAAATATAAATAATAATTTCTTAAAATTAACATTATTTAACGTAAATCACTTGTTTCCAATGAAATTTTCTTACTAAATGTAAACTTATTTAAAAAAAAAAGTATTTAAATTCCACCAAATCAAGCCTATGCCATTGATTAAAATACTATTTAATCGTACTTGTGTGAAAGAAGAAGTGAAATATAAAAATATTTCATGGATATTTTTATAACCTTAAATACATTTTCTGTAGCTTAATAACTCTAGATATAACATATTTATTTATACTTAAATAATTAGGTATCTATTGGGCATTTATTCCAACAAATCTTCAAGTAATGTTTTATAAAATTAAATTAGTGAATAATTTGATGGATTTTCCATTGTGAAATCCTTAAACACTTCAGTAACTAATATTTCTATAAGTGCATAATCGTTTATAGGTTAAATATTCAGATATAAGTTCAAAACTCAGTAGGCATATATGAGCCTTTCGGTTGACAGAATGACTAACTCTAATTTCAATGTTCTTTATTATTAATTTTAGTGATGTTTCTAGTGGCAAAATTTATACCTTTATTCACAGTTCAATAATTCAACACTGTAATCAAATACTTCGGAACCTACTTACTCACTGTCTACCTACCTACTACTATAGATGCCTACTTACTATAAATATAACTTTTCCAACTAGAAATATCACTAAAATGACATTACTCAAAAATCTTGAAATTTGAGTTCATTCTGTCAGTTGAAAGGCTCATAGACTGAAGTTATGTGGTTTATAAAACTATATTTTTATTGCCAACGATCGATATAATAAATAAACTGTTTGTAATTTTAATGAACTTAATGATTTGTTATTTCTAAGATTTAAGCTTTAGCTCCGTTTAAAATGCACTTCAAAATTTTTATAATAGTCCAACATCGCCAGAAAACAATTTCTATTCAAAGTAGAGGGGTAAGTGAAAGTTGTGTGTTGAGCGCACCAGATTTGTTGGTGGCAGTCATAAATAGACTAAAATAGTGGCAAAACTATCTTATTTCAAGTCAATGTTTTGACCTGAAGGTCTTTTTCAGGGCTAGAACAGACAAGATATAATTAATATATACTATAATATATGCAATTATGAATACACTCCTACAGATCTTAAGGAAAGATTGGAAGAAAAGGATAAATAATATGAAATAATGGGCATAAAGTGATGTGAATTAAGGAAAGGAAAATAAATAAATACAATAAAATAAATTAAAATAAAAGAATAAAAATAGAGACTTACAGGTATGTTCAGCAAAGATTTTTTTTTTAAACTGGAAAAACTTGGGAAGAGACGCTTGGGAAAATTTGGTGACCTGATTGGGGAGTGGTGAGGGGGTAAGTAATAAAAGCAAAACAAAACTTGGAATATTACAGTATCTAAAATTTGAAGATATTGATGGATGCAAAAAAAAATAAGATATCTATGAACTAATAAATTATAAATACATACATATGAATATAAAATAGAATTAAGAAATTATAGATGGAAGTACAATGTGAATAAAAACAAAAATGAAAGAAGTAAAACGTACATAGAAGTAATATTTAAATATAAAAATAAGAGACCATACAAGAACTAATTTAGAAGTATAGAGAAGAAACAAAAATTAATAAATATATAATTAGTTGAACATATTGTAATAAAATTACATTTAAATATTAGATAATATTGCAACATAATGGTTAAAAGTACAATGAATACAAAGTATAAATGGATGATCATACATTGATGTAGAATGTAAATATAAAATTAAAAATAAAAGAGAGATCATACAAAGTGAAAATACTTAAAAATAATGAACGATTAAATTAAATTAATCAATAAAAATTTAAAATAGATAAAAAATAAATAAACAAGAATAATAGAAGATGTAATAACGAAGTTATTTTCCACTTATAAGATTTAAAATGTGCCAATATGTTAAAAAAATGCAGTTTTTATCTACTGGTGGCGGCAGCAGATTTCCGCCTCTTGCTACATGGGACAACTAGTTTACCTACCCGCTGCCTGGCAGCGCCATACAAGCTCGCCCATGCAATATACCAAAAATTGTATTTTTGTTTCTTATTGTTATATGACAAAGAATTCAAATTGTAAATTGAAATATGTATATACATTATAAATACTTTTTATTAATAAAGTTAAATGGCGATAACATATACTGATCAAAGCTTAAAAATAACTGTTATTGTAACTGCTCTTGATAGCCGATTTAGTCTTGGCGGAATTAATACCGCAGTCATATCTCAAATCGTTAGATCTTCGGATCTCCACCCCTTCAGGGTGTAGATGTTTATGCAGGTATTTAGTATATGAACCATATACGCCTTTAGATCTACAAGAAACTGCTTTTTATTTCACTTTTGTCCATTGTTTGTAGTCCTATATACTAATTCAGGAAATTAATCCCTCCGTTAGTACTTCATCCTCCCACAAGTCTGGAGATTGATCCCTCCAGTTGTGGTTACCATTCTTGCGGAGTGTTAAGGTTGATCCCTTACATCGCAGACCGAGAGTGATTGGGTGCTGATCCACCTGACACTTAAGGTCATTCTTCTATTCGTTTTCCTTCATCCACTTAGACATCTTACCCCTAAATTGAGCAACGCTCTGTCGAGGCCTTCTAGTAAATGTTAGCCTCTGTACTATACCTCAACATACTTTATGATTAACAGGATTGTGTTCCATGTGGATGTGGATGGATTCGGAAATGAGTCTTTTTTCATGGTTGGGGAACGTGGCAAGAATAGAGGTTTTTTCAACATCAAATGAATGGTTGAGTGTTAATGCATGTTCTGAAAATTTGGAGGCGGAAGAGTTCTGGGAAGTTATGGATGTTTTATGTTGGGAAATACAGGTTTTAAGATGGTTTTTGATTTTGCCAATGTAGGAAATATTACAATTAGGAGTAGAGCAAGGTATCAAGTAAACTACATTAGATAGTTGTTGTAAAAGCATGGGATTCTTCAAATTGGTGAAAAGGAAAGAAAGTTGGTTATTGGAGTTAAGGCCAAGACGTAATATCATTCCAAAATATCCATGTTAGGCTGAAATGTACTCTAAAGAGTTGCCTAGTTTTCAGCTTAATTCTAAAAATTTCTATTATCATCAACAGCTCGACAACCCTCTTAGTGAGTCATGGCTTACACAAGAAGTTTTTACTATCCCTACTTATCCAGTTGCTAACAATTCAATGCTATACCCTAACCTAATTTCTAATGCTTCAAAATCCACAAGTACTTAATCCTCAGTGAAGTACAAAAAAACAAAAATAAATTTTTTGTGTGCTTCACTGACTGCAACCCCTGACCAACTGGTCTTACTATATACTTTTGTGCTTATAATCCATAAAACTTATTTATTTTTTATTAATATAATAGAATCAATAATGAAATTGGATATCATTCAATCTGAAGGTACTTCCCATGACCATGCACAAATAAAATGAATTATCAAATGATGGTTAGCACGTTAAATTAATTTTATCAAAATAAGTAGTAGTAATTTCAATCAATAAGTAAAATATTACAATGACGTATTATAAAATGATGTAAATATAAAATTCACCTGTAACTGCAAATTTTTACTTTCACTTACCTATATGAGAGTTTTACATAAAGAACTATTGTCCCGAAACGAAAAAAAAATCAGAATATACAAAACCATTATATTTTCTACAGTTCTTTATGGATGCGAAACATGGCATCTCACATTAAGAGATGAGCAATTTCTAAAGGTTTTTGAAAATAAAGTATTGTATAGAATATTTGAACCGAAAAAGGATGAATCAACCGGAGAAGTTAGTCGGTTACACAATACTGAATTGCACAAACTATAACCAGTTAATATAATTTAAATGATTAAAACGAGATAAATAAAATGGATATGTAAAATTGATGGACTGAATAATGAAAGAATCCCTAAATAGTTAGTATGCGCTGTGCCAAATGGAAAATGTCCGAGGGATAGACCTAAGGGCAGGTGGAAAGATTGCATTAAGACTGATCTGGGTTTAGATGGCGCCTGGTGGATGGAAGTATGAAGACATCAATAGATGGTATCAGCATCAAACCTTCGGGTTTGTTAAGCCTTATTATTATTATTATTACTTACCTGTATATGAAAAATATAAGAGAAAGTATTGGAAGCGTGAACAATTTTGAATCCGAGTTTTCAACAGAAATCTCAAAGGTTTTGAGGTCATCTGAATCCAAATAACCAAATCTTGTGAAATGGTCTGGGTTAAACGTGAAGGGGCCTAGCCCAAAAATGAAAAGTCCAACAAAACTGAAATATCATATTTAAGGTATATAAATGCCGGGGATATTACAGAAAATTTGTCATTAAAACACATAATTACTGTTCTCATGGAAACGTTATATCAGTGTGCGATTAATGTTTTTTAGTATCAGGTAGGTCTTATAGTCATTGAAATACCAGGTGTGTCCATGGCTATAGTTTTTAATGCAGTTCCATTAAACCACATTATTTGGGCCACTTTGTTTCTTCGACAACTGTCAAAGTTTTTTAACTCAAAACAATACTTAACAATAAAAATAAGTTTCATATAATCATTGTTTTAATATTTAATAGAAATTTTGAGTTTTGTGCCTACAAACTATGATTTGCATACTGCATTACTTTTTTATTACCATTTAAAGAAAAGTACAGTAAAATAGCAATGAATACATGTCAAAGATGAGCATGGTCTTGGTAAATCAGTGCTTTATAAGATTCAAAAGTGGCGATTTTGAAGAGAGAAATGATGAGAGTCGATGACTGATGAAAAATTTCGAAGACAATGATTAACTGCTAAAATCTGGTGAAACCATTAATACTTAACGCTTTTGCCAACAAATGATCGATTTGAATCTAGTATTGCATGAAAAACAACCAGCATATCAAAAAAAGATAATACAAAGTAATTTGATTCTTGATAGAGCACAATCACACACAGAAAAACCAGTGAAGTCAACGACTGAGGTATTCAGTTGGGAAATATCAGCAGATGTGGCTTACTGACCAGAGTAACTTGGCTTTGTCCAGTTACTATTCATTTGCATCAATGGAGCACCCACTAGCTAAGCAGATTTTTTGGGGGGGGGGAGCGGGCTAACCTGTGTGCACTGCACCGCTGTTGCTCGGCAATCGGTTGGAAGACAAATTGATAAAATAATTACAAGTTCGCGTCCCGTTGCCCGGGGGAGGGGAGGCTTTTAACTCTGGCATTAATTTCCCATCCCCACTGCAGGACCTGGCCGGGAAAAATCTCGTATAGCCTAAATGGCGAGAAAGGGAAGGGCAGAAGAAAATAAAGCACAGCATGGTTTCAATTCTTACAAAAAAAACAAAAATGACTTGATGGCTGGGTCGCCACAAAAGACTAGATACAAATTATAATTAAATTAGAATGGTATATTCGAGTAGTAAAAAAATTAAAATTATTACCAATAAATTATCGGCATAGGGAAGTGGCGACCCCATCACCCAGTCACGTGACTGCAATCAACCACTGGTCCTCCAGGTTGGGGGAACAATAACTCTGACACTCAGACAGTACACCATATACAGCACACTACATACACCACACATTAACATTCAAAGGTCATCAACAGTACACACCCTAGGGTCACCTTCCCTAGGTAGCCGGTAGGGTCAGGATGCTCTAAGGAGGCATCCCCTTCACCTGACTCGGGGGCAGAGTTTGGGCTGATAACCCTCTCCCCTTAAATTTAATTATTGTGAAGCCCATACAGAGACAAGCCAGAATAATTATATACCTTGGCTCGCAAGTTAATGTAAATAACGACATGAATCCTGAAATACAGAGGCGCATTATGGCCGCAAATAGAGCTTATTTTGATCTCCAGGGACATCTCAAAAGTAAGTGATCTCTCGTAAAACCAAGCTGCTCTTGTACAAAACCCTGATCAGACCAGTACTAACATATAGGTCAGAGTGCTGGACAATGTCAAGAGCCCAAGAAACAGCTCTTCTTCGGTTTGAATGTTGTGTACTAAGAAGAATATTCGGCCCAAAAATAAATATTAATCAGGAGCGACGAATGCGATCCAGCAATGAGCTGATGCAGCTATATAAAGAAGCCGATATTGTGAGGATAATGAAAATTGGCAGGTTGAGATGGGCAGGGCACATTATCGGTATGTCTGAACAACATGTGCTAAGGATGTTGATGGATGAGCGGATCTTTGCCACAAGACGGGTAGGCAGAACGAGACTCAGATGGGCTGATATAGTGAAAGCCGACGCCCGAAGTATCCTTGGTGTCCACAACTGGAAGGTAGCAGCATTACTTGAAGAGGACTGGTGGTTGAAATTGCGGGAGGCTTTGACTCTGCAAGAGTTGTAGAGCCATTCATGATGATGATGACCAATAAATGGAAAATATATTTTTTTTGTAAACATTCTCTTCAAATTTCTCCTAGGGCTTAGGAACAACTGACTCTTGAGCATCAACTGAATATAGTACAGAATTGGAGAGCCTACAGAATATGCACAGGATCGAGCAATCTGGCGAAGGCTCATTGAGGAGGCCAGGGTCCACATTGGGCTGTAGTGACATTGGAATGGAAAATATGTGATATGTAAGATATATAAAAATTTTATAATAGAAAGTTATAAAGTAACACTGACAAAGTAATAAAGTAAAAGGTGACAAAGTAATAGTAATAAATTAATGAAATAAAGAAAGCAATAAACAATGAAATAATCAAGAAATAAAATGGAAGATTTAAGTAATACAGATAAATAGGAGAAATCGGTAGCAAATAAAATGAACAAGGTATGGTGATAGGTTTTTGGTAGTTTTCAGGTGTGATCATCAATCTGTTCACACGCTCAATATATATATATAGAAGGTACGTTTGCTTATTTATCGTTTATTCACATCATTAATTTTATCTTTTTTCTCGCTTATTTATTTTAATTGCTACTTATTTCTCTGAGCTATCTATATTACTTAATATTCCATTTCATTACTTTATTACTGATACTTTATCATACTTTAATTTCTTACTTTATTACCATTAATTTATAACTTACAATTATACAATTTTTATAATCTTATACATTACATACATTCCATTAACTAGTGACTAATTCTATTCTTCTTTACTCACATATAGTAGTATAATTTAATTATATATTTTTTCACATATATCAGAGAATCCTTGATCCTTTTATATTAAATATTAAAAATATTTCATTAAATTTTCAAACCTTGTCAGTACATACAATACTTATACATTTTCATTTTTTAATCACTTCATAGAATTTATTTATTAGCAGATAATATATATTTTGTTCTTATATCATTTTACAATATTTGTTTAATAATTTTTTGGCTGCTTTTTCATCTTTAACTCAGCTCCGAGGAAGGCCTGAAACTGTAAATAAATCTGTTTGGGAAGCAATTGTAAATAGCCTTCCATTTTGTTGGGAGTCTAGGTTATTTACACCCGTGAATTTAATTTTCTTAAAACAAAACCCCGGCACTGGATATATAGACGTTTTGAGGGTGTTTACTGTTGTTGGGAATTCGAGAACCAAATGCTTTTATGACACTGAGTGACAAGAAATATGAAATACACTTTGAATGAATTGAATCATCTGGTTTGTTATTCTTCAATTGTGAGGCATATAGGACAACTAAATAATCGGACTATTCACTCCTGTATAAGAAAATAATTTATTTACACAACTGTAATAAATGAATAAATGATTTGATCTTCTTAATCTTCAATGGAGTAGGCTTCTCTCCTCTGGTAACCTTCCTTCTTCCTATCCCGGCCTGAAGTGAGTTTTTTGTTGACTGAACTAGTTTTGAGTTAGTTGTATTTTGGGGACTTATTTATTTCATATTTTGAGGATCTTTTAGCCTAAAAGTAACAACTATGTTAGGGAAGGACCTTGACCAGAATTGAGGCTAAACCTTAATCCAGCAACTTGCAATAAATTTTTAAGAAATCTATAACAGCATCTTTAAAAGAAAAGAAAAGGTCATAAAAACCACAACTAAAAAAGAAAAACAATATATTTATTTAATTACTACTATGTACATAATTTCAACAACCTCTGTAAAACTTCATTAAAAATAATAATCATCATCATTTTTCTTCTTCTGATAATAATAAATTAATTTCAATAAAATATTATTAATTAAGCTTAGAATAATATCAAACTATGATTTCACATTGAAACATTCCTGCCAGGCTTTTACATTAACCATTTTTAAAATAGTTGATAAGCTATTACCTGGCCCACATTCATAAGTTTTTGGAAACGGCATATCTTTGGGTCTTTCATAAAGGATATGTAAGGTTTGTTCCCATTTCACTGGTGCGACTATTTGTTTAGCAAGGACCCTTCTAATATGCTCAGCATTCTCATAATGTTTTCCATCAATGTTTGAATGAACTGCTATTATAGGGTCAGATAAATTAGCTTTCTTCATTGCTTTGTAAAATACTTCTGAAGCTGGTATCATCAATGGAGTATGAAATGCTCCAGAAACTGGAAGCCTCTTCAGCTTTCTTAGGTTAAATTGACTTTTGTTTTCTTCCAGATATTGTATAGCCTTAAAAAATAAATTTACTATAGTAATGTAAGCAATAAACCATCAATAAAATTTAATAATAATTTTAAAAATTGCTTCAAATCATAGCAATTTAGACAAGGTCATATATATTTATACAGTAGATAAATATGATAAATGCATATTCGATTGTTTCTATTAAATATGCTAAATTTGTTCATTCCATTCTATAATAATGTTTTATTTAATAAATAACACAGCATGAAAATCAGTCTGGCAGAAATTTTAAACAATATATTAATTGTGCAGTAGATAAATAACAATTACAGTACATTAAAACATGATATAAATCTGTCAGAAATAAATATACATACAACTAAAAAATACTAATGTAATAACAAATATAAATATAAAATTATGGGATAATGACTGATTTCTATTTAAGAAAGAACATTAAAGAAAGATCTGACAAATTGAAAAGAACAAATAAAATTTCCTCATATAGGAGTAAATATAAATTAGATAAATTTTGTTTATGGTGGATAAATGAAGTGACAGCGATGAGTACTCATATAACAAGCAAAATTCACAAGTTTATGACATTTATTTACGAAGGAGTCTTAAGGAGAGAAATCAAGAAATTATTTTCAACAGGACTAGCTCCTAGAAATGACATGAATTTCACTGAGAACTGAACATAGAAATGGAAAAAAACCTCTTAACGGCTAGGTTACAAAGTGAACACTTTGTATTACACTGCTATCCAGCCATGGGATGTAACTCAAATAAAGAAGTATACATCAAAGCTTAAGCATCCATCTTAACTCACACCCAGTTAGGTTCCATTACAACCAACCCCACCATGAATCTAAAAATTTTAACATCATGATTCATAGTTCCTTGTACAAAAGGAATTATGGAACAGCTTACAACTGGAATTCATTGTTGCCATTTCACTGTTTTGTATGCTTATAAAATTATACTGTTGCTTATAGTATTATAATGGCAGTAATTGTGAAACGTAATGTTACTAAACGGTCTTTCCATAAAGAACAATTATTTTATGAGCAATCAAAACTATATGAGGATCTATCTAACAAATCACAGCAATGTTTAAACCAAAAGGTATTGCGCTTAATAACTTCAACTGTGATAATTCTAGAGAGCAACCCAAGACAATATAAAAAATGCAACTGCATTGTAAGTACCTGAAGTAGGTCTGTGGCTGTTTCCAAATAAACCATATTTTTCGGTACAGTAAGCGTGTGTAAGTACACTTTAATGGGTCTGCTTTAAAATTAAAAAAAAAGAGTAAACAGCCATGTTCAATATTCCCATTATTACTACTGAGAATAAAAAAAAAAATGTATCACTTACTTTACCTCAAAGGTGATTAAAACATCCTCGAAGGATGGCATGAGGGATGCATTCCAGAAGAGAGTAATGGATTGGGACAGGAGAAAAGATCTAGGTGATAAAGGAGATCTGGTTGAGACATTATAGAGAGTGAATAACTAATACTGCATAAACAGTAGAAGAGGAAGTGGTTAATGATGATGATAATTAATGAACAACAGATACTCATGTATTGCAGGTGGGAAGTAGGTTATTAATATTGTTGATATGTTCTTATTTTCAATGTTTTTTAATTCTTACATTTTCCAATATGTAAGGAAAATATATGATGCACACATATTTATTATTTAAATTTAATTTAATGAAATAATTTATGATATACCTTTTCATTACCACCAACTATCTTACAGTGGGGAAATAAATAATTTGAAACTCCACAGTAAGCTTTGGTCACCCCAGATGTTGCTGCATGTTCCTTTGCTTTTATACAAGCTTCGCTTAACTTAGAATCAGGACCGTAAAGAACCGTCAACATGGCCCCTTTCTCCATTTCTGCAGCTAACTCCATCGCCTCGGCTCTTATTTTTACAAGTTTCACAGCTGAAAATCATTTTTAGGCAAGTAGTTTACTCAATAATACTTGAATAAAAGCATATAAATAGCAAAAACTAATATTAAATGCTAAATTATAATTTTTCCTATAAAAACGCAACATTCTAAAAATGATTGAACATCCAAATAAGTATAATATTTCTCACAGCAATGTTTCCCACCAATTGGTTGGCAGGTGGGAGAAGAACACATCAATCATACTGTAACTGGAATGAAGAGAGTAAACACTTTCCTTAAAAATAAATTCTCCAGCATAACATATAAACGGTGATGAATGTGATCTTGGCTCACCACTCATCCAGATGCAAAATTTGTGATGTAGTAATATTAACAAAAGTAATAGATAAAATTCAGTGTCAGTTGAAACTCAAATCTTATTTAATTTAAATATTACCTAATCTAACAGCTTCAAAGTCATATTTAAAAATAAATAATTTGCAGTTAGTAAATAATTTATGATATTCTGAAAATATTTTAGTAATATGTTTCAAATAATAAGTAGTTATGATCGACCATTTTAAAAAAAGTAAAGATAAAAATTATGTTATGACCAAAATTTCTAATTCAACAATCTTAAAATGGAAGATTTTTTAAATTTTTAAAGATTTAAAATCAATGCGAATTCTCTACTAGTCCTTTTCAGTTAGTTTTTTTTTTTTTTTTTAGTCAGTTTCAGTTGAGGAGTTAATTAGTTTAATTACATCAGTTTTCAACTCCCGCTCACTCAATAAGGATAAACAAACCCTAATGGCTCCTTTCCAGTTGAGGTTGGGGTCTTACCAATCTTTGGTCACTTCTATTGACTTTCTAACACAATTAGCCATTATCGGAATTCCAACAATGATGTGATGAGATCTAATAGCACTCATGAAACTGGAGTGACATTTGTACAGTAGTGTCAAGAGTCATATATATAAGTAGGAGAATTATAAATAATTTCATGAGGAGTTGATCGGGGAGAGGGGAAGAGGAGAGGTGCGGTCAAATAATAATAAATTAAACAAGTAGAATTATTTAATTTTTGCCGACTGCAGTTGACTGCCAGTGTTTCAACTGCCTCCCCCCGTGCTACATCCTACGCCCTGATGAAGACCTGCAAAGTGGGTCTAAACGTCGGCAAAAATTAAATAATTTTACTTGTTTAATTTATTATTATTTGATGGCCCCCCCCGATCAACTCCTTCTCATATTATGTCAACGGTCAACCATCTCTACATCATTATAAATAATTTCCTGTTGTGGGTAGGTAAAATAGATCATAGGGACTACCAGAATATTACATCAAAGCATCCATTAAAAATCAAATAATAAAGCAATTTCAAAATTTTTGGAAGCATACTGTAGTTTAATAATTTTAACTATCTATATAATTTATTACCTTTCTCAAAAGAGAGAACTTCAGCTAAAACTAGAGCTGAAATTTCTCCAAGACTGAAGCCAGCAGTTGCTATACAATTTTCAATGGCCTGTGGTTTTTCTTCTTTTAATCTTTCAAGGGCTGCCAAAGAACAAACAAGAATAGCAGGCTGAGCATATTCAGTTCTATTCAATTTTTCAGCAGGCCCTTGCAAACATAGTTTATTTAAGTCATAACCCAAAATTGAACTAGCTATATCAAATAAATCTTTTGCAGGAGGGAATTTTATAACATCTTTATTCATCCCGACATACTGGGTCCCCTGACCTGGAAATAAAATAATGCTAGTTTCACTAGGATTAATTCTTGGGCGAAATGAGTGATCAGCTTGATTTCTTACTGATGCCCCTTTGGGATAAGGTGAAGTTGACCAAACATCCCCCTCATCTTTAGGTTGTTCATCTTCGTAAGTGGCAGCTTCTTCCAGCATTTTTTTTACATTTTTTCCATCTTTTTTGTCTTCATAAACATTATCAGATGAAAAGCATTCGTGTGGAGTAAAAAACACCTTGTGAGGAGATCTGGCAAATTTATTTAAAATATTAAGGCTTAAAAATCTACTATTGGTCATCTTATATTGTTTATCATGAAACAGTTCAAAGGACAACACGAAGCGGGAAGGTAAACAATGTTTACTTCTGTAACCTTCTCCAAACAAAGATAACAGAGACAAGTTCCTAAAGTCAGCACTGAGTCCATCTATGGTATTGAAAATCTATCGAACCGTTTCCAAGTACATCAATGGAATTCAGTGATTTTATCAGAGATAACACGTCGGTTTGATCGATGGATCAGTTAGGTTTCCGTTGGAATAAATCAGGCCTTTCTCAAATAAATAAATCGTTGTCGTTCGATGCTGGATTCCTTTGATAGAATTAGGACTGAGTTTAGGAACTTGTCTCACTAGTAAATAATATATATATCACAGGCGGATTTACAGGGGGGAGGGAGAGGAGGGAGGCTTTCGGCCTGAAGCCTCCCCACAAAAAATGGTAAAATATAACCGTGTTTTATAGAGACAAATATTAAAAATTTCTCTTAAAGTATTTGTTCCGGAATTTGTTAACCATGAACGTTTGATTTATTACGTTGGAATACAAAGTGAAATATATTATTTTTAATTCCAGGCACTAGCGGATCCAGGATTTAATTTTGGGGGGTCTTCAGCCCGAAAGCATTTTTTTCATAAAAATAACGATAATTACTTTGGAACTAACTACCTATATGGACTGGAGTTTAAGTGATTCCTAAAGTCCTTTTAAATGTAATTACACGAATAATTATACTTTAAGAGATCATTTTTTAATATTTTTTTCGATAAAACATGGTTATATTTTACCATTTTGGGGGGACTTCAGCCCGAAAGTGACCAAGCGAGACCTAATTGATGGTGTTTGCAATAGATACGCATTCAATAATGAGAAATTGCCTGGTTGGTTTGTGGAAGATGAGAAGAAGCCTATGATAAAGGAAGCACCTGTTCCCAAGGAGCTTCATGAATACAAAAAGAAATTCGAGGAATTTAATTCAAGACCTATAAAGAAAAGAATTGAAGCACGTGCAAGAAAGAAGAAAAAGGATAATAGATTACTACAAACTCGATGTGGCAGAAATGTGTGAATGCCTATGCGGTTTCTATGAATCCTTTTGTAGTCCACATCGGTCAGAGAAAATTTGAATTTTACGTACTGGTTATGTTTTGATAATTTGTTTTAATTATTTCTAGCAATGTTTGTTGAGTAGTTATAAACTCCTCTAGGTGGGAGGATGTTCCGGAATTTGTTAACCATGAACGTTTGATTTATTACGTTTGAATACAAAGTGAAATATATTATTTTTAATTCCAGGCAAAACAGCTATTCTAAAAGATATTTAAAAAACAGATGTTAATTATTGTTAGAAAGAATTGTGTTCTTAAAAATCTCTGCTTTGTAAAATTTGATAAAATATAGTTTTGTGTTTGTTCTTTTTTGAAAGTGCACTCAATCACTACTTTATTTACAAGTTCTCTTGTTGTTCATTTTTTGTATTACGAAAAAGTATTATTGTTCGTGTAATTACATTTAATAGAACTTCAAGAATCACTTAAACACCATTTCATATAGGCAGTTAGTTTATTTTTACTTTCACTTTCCTATATATGTAAGAAATATTAAGTGTATTACTTTCACTTACCTATAAATGTAATATATAGTAAGTGTAAGTATTGCGATCGTGAAAAGTTTTGAATCTGAGTTTTCAACGGAAATACACGTTTTGAGGTCACCTGAGCCCAAATAACCAAGCCCCGTCTGTGTGTATGTGAACACTAGCTCGAAACCGAAAAGTCGTAAGGAACTGACATTACATATTTAAGATAGATATATGCCGTAGATGTGAAAGCAACTTTTTCATTGAAATCGGCTAACCGGAAGTGCCACTTTTTATCAACGCTGAACACATTTTTACAATTTTCTCAAAAACGGCTCTAACGATTGTGATTAAATTCGGTGTATCATTGTATAATTAAGTGGTCTTTAATGTCAATCATTGGAAAACGAATAATTTTAGAAAAAAACAATATCTAATATAGACAGTTGTAGAAGATAACGGAGAGTTGCAAAAAAAATTATAAATAATAATTTTTGAAAACTAATATTATTTAACGTTAATCACATGTTTTCAATGAAATTACATGAAATTTAGTAACTAAATATTTATAGCCTAATATTTATGTTTATAGCCTTAAATATATTTACTGTAGTTTAATAACTCAAGATCTGATATTATATTTAAATATTTAGGTATCTATCGTCCTTTTATCCCGAAAAATCATCATGTAACCTTTTAGAAAATTAAATTAGTTAATAATTTGATAAATTTTCCCTTTGTGATATTCCCACATAATTCACTTACAACTAGTGTGACAACTTTTGACCTGTCTATGACAGACAATGCAAATCTTTTAATTCCGTTTTAATAAACTTTGGAAAATCACTAACGGATCCAGGGGGGTGACCCCCCCCCTCCCTTGGAGGTAGGAAAGGAATCCAAAACAGTTACAAAAATCAGATATTTAAAGAAAAGAGAAATATAGGGCAAATTCATCAGCATAGACGAAATAAAAATAAAAATTATTATCGTGACAAACACTATTTAAAGAAAGAGAAATGTAGGGAAAATTCATCCTCATACACGAATTTCCAAATGAAACAATAAAAACTATTATCGGGACCAGCGCTAGCGAATTCTGTCAGGGGGCGCGCCCTCCCTTGGATAGTGGGAAAAAAAAATTCTGACTGATCACCCCAATCATCCTTCTCTTCATTTTATCATTTTTTTTTTCATTTTATCATCTTCATTTCATATTTTGTAAAACTAAAACAACATTGCACGGTTGCTTAACTGTGCTAAATTGCTAAATAACACAGCATACTCATCAATCAAAAGATAATACTGTATAAAAATATAAGAGAGAGTTAGGTCGGAATTTTATACATAGCTTTTTGATGTAGGTCCAATGGGCGAGGAGTTAGAGCAAAAACATTTAATTTATCTATGTAACCTACTATAACTGGGAAAAACCTCTTGTATGCTTAGCTCCTAACGAATTACATTTCAATGAAATTCGCTAAGTCATTTTCCGACGCCTAAATTTTTAACATATTAACGAAAAGAAGCTGGAAAAAAGTTACGAGGGATGGTAAAATTACATTCGGTATAACTCGGATTGTTTATACTTTTGTGTTGATATGATAAGATGTTTCAAAGGTATTTAAATTTCCTGAAAAATGATGGAAGTTTCATCGAAATCAAAGCACTATTAGTAGAGATATAGCGGTTTTACATATTTTTGGCTTATTATTTTCAATAATCAACCATTGTGATCGACCAAAAAATTCTAAAACTTAATCTCCCCTCAAAATTTGATGTTTCGCGTTTCAGGACGCGTAGAATTCAAAAAACGAATAACAATTTTTTTGTTCGTCCGCCGTACGATGTACGCGGTAAAAGTTAACGAAATTTCCTAAAAAATCAAAAAACAAAATCGTTAAAATCGGACAATTAGGAGCAAAGATACGTTCTGCGGTTTTTTTAATATGTTCTACTCCAAATGTTATATCCTTGGTTTGGTTTTTAAATTTATAATGTGTTACTGAACTAATGCTATTTTTTTTTTTAGCGTATTACTAATGATTAAAGAAAAGCAGTTTAGTCCAATAATTGGATTGGAATCACCTTTTGTTTTTTTTTCTTTGTAACTCGGAAGGTAATGTTACTTTAGATGTATAATTGTTTGGAAATAATAAACCTTTGTGAAATAATTTGCAGCGTTTTTTATTTATAAATAAATATTGTATTTAGGCAATTATAATTATTAAAATAAATCCCAGATCATAAAAAAACCAATTAATAAAAGCTTTGCAACAGTTTATCGTATACATCTTTGCTGAAAACACGAGCTCTATTAGATGACTGGATAGAAACTGACATAATTTCTTTACACAACTTGTGGTGAATCTCAAGACTTTGCCTCATAAACCACAATTTAATTAATATGGAATTAAAGGTCATCAAACGAAGAAATTTTTCTAAAAGTGGGGTACAGTTATATAATGTTGTAAGAAATGCAAATAATTTATGATTTTTAAAAAAAAGAACTTAGCTTAGTTTAGCCGCTCAAAAGTCCTTCTTAAATGATTTTAACAACGACAAACTCTACTTTCTTTAAAAGTAAATTTTGTCTAGTTTACAGTGAAACAATTGTTAATTACTAAAATTAAATATTTCTTTTGTTATTGCTTTCTATTAGACAAAAAACACGTCCTTCAAAGGACTTACTTTGAAAAACACACAATTTGGATTTCCTACTTTTCTGCTGAGAATTGTCCCATGGCTTACATAAACTTTTTTGTAAGCCTTGAAGTTTGCTATTACTCTTATAAAAATTTCCCTCTACTTACGGGACACCCTGAATATGAGCCAGGTTGGCTAGTCGGCGACTATCAAGGGCCCCCGTAGGAGGCCCCAAAATTCATTGTTTTATACTTCTCTAGAACCTTGGTATTTGTGGCCTTAGAAAATTGTTTTAAATATTTTAATTTCCCTGTTTTGTTTTTCTGTTCCCTTCCTTGCCTTTTAGGCTATACAGGATTTTTCCAGGCCAGGGGATGGTTAGAGACGATACTAGAGTTAAAAGCTTCTCCCCTCCCTCGGCACCGGGACGCTAACTCGTAATTATTTTATTCTGTAAAAGAATTCTGAGTAAATGCGAAAATGGAAAGTACTCATGAGGACAGCTGAATAGTTTTTGTACTCGTCAATCATCAAATCGAAGAGTGATTAAAATACTCGATACTCGGGTCGCCTGAGTATTTGTGTAAAATACTTTCTAATTTGTACTTTTTACTCAGAGTACTTTTTTGCTATCTTGAGGAGTAAAAAAAATCAAGAAGGTGAGGTTTCTCGGTTGGGAAAAGGAATATAGCTACGAAATATTGCCATTGGAAAACTGGATACAGCCACTTCAACTAAGCATACAAATTGGAGATGTTGAATTGCCTGGGGACTCTAAGTAAAATCATATAGAATTTAGCCAATTTCATTCCAACTAGTGTTGCACAAAATCTGTCTTGGTCTTTCACTTTGCAAGACCAAGAACAACACCGCCTATCTGTTGCAAGACCAAGACCAA